AAAGCCCCCCCATTGGGTGCCATAAAGACGGAGAAGACATATATCGGTACCAAGAATAACATTTGATAACTACATAGTTTTCTATTTATACACTCTAAGTAGGCCATTCTCCGCGCCAAATCCACCCTCATATAGCGTTGTGGTGTTGTTCGATCACAAAAGAACTAGGTAACAGCCATATTACTTACAATTTTGGATGGGTCAACGCAACCAGATTCAGATCCATCATGCGAGCGAAGACTGTAGATAGAATCCAAAGGTGCGGAGGGCTCAAATCCGCATCTTGCCTAGATGGCGACAACGCTAACCCAGAAGCGAGTATCGTCCGTCTTGTAGGACTCATTGCTGTCGATCTGCTTCTGAATCCACTGGACAGCCGACTTGTAGTCTGCGAAGGGGTCAGCGTCGCTATCACAATTGTAGCCATATCTTTGAAAACTCACTCTGGATATCCTGGGTGTAAGGGTTTTCCAGTCCACTAGCACCGTTACGGTGGCCAGCAAACCACTTGTCGTAGCCGTAGTGGTTCTGGCAGTCCCAGCGGGAGGCGACGTCGGCATGCACATTGGAGCTTTCGGAAGGTAAGTTGTCATTCAAATCATTATATCATCTAGGGTTTTCTCACTTGAGAACCGCTCCATCATTCCACTGCGACTCGGACTTTCCAACAAAGCCGTAGCGCGAGGCACAGACGCGGAGCAGACCCCAGTTCTGCTTGAACAGACCAAAATTCGATGCGTCGTAGGTCTTGGCGTCACCATAGGGATAGTGGCCGGTGTTCATATCCGCACTATGATTGACTGTCAATATTATATAGTGGTATGCTATGGTTGAAATCTTACATCTCAAGCATGGCAATGGCAATATCAAGAGTGTTGCCACCAGCATCGAGAATCGCCTTCTTGCGCCATCCGAGGCCAGGGACAGAGTAGTGACCACGATCATCTCGCTTGGCGAGCGCATCGTTGGGGATCGGGGTGGCCAGCACCGTAGCCGCGAAGAAAGCAGCAACACACGAAAGGGAGAACTTCATCTTGAACTGGAAGATGGTAATGTAAATGAGAGAAGTAAAGAACGTGAGAAGCAAAGAATGAGTTAAAAAAAAAAGAATGAGAGACTGATCGCTTGAATGAAGTATCCAAAAACGAGGCTAGGTCGAGAGGTTTTATACTCGCGAAGCTCGATATAATTTATTGAACCTGAGTATAACTCCAAGCCCGGAAAGTGAGACTTTTTTTGATTACACGAATTGCTCAATTTCCACATTGTTGTTGCTCGCCTTGAGGGTCAGCATCGAGGGTCAGCATCGTGGGGTTTCTTCGGCATTGATACCACCCAATGCCACCCAATATGGCCGTGATATTCTACAGCAATCAGACCATTTCCCTCCTTATCTGTGGCCAAATCGAGATTTTTAACCATGTGGCTTTCTTGACTAGTGTGATTACTCTACCACTCCCCATAATCTTAAAATATAAGTGTCTATTTGAGACAATACCTGATATCCGACCAGCCCGATTAAATTATAGAACGTTGTCTGATTCTAGATTGGAATTTAAACAGCCGGTGGGGTCTCTCGCACCAAAGTTCGGTGTTTGACTTCACGAGGATGTCTCAAACCCTATATCCACTCCTTAAAAATCTCAAGAGGCTGGAAATCAATATTGTTCTCTACGTACAATGTTATGAAGGATATTTTAAAAAAAAAAATCTTCAGAATAATGCACCCCGCATTCCGCAACGCCTTCAACGCCTTGAGCGGTAATCCGGGGGAATTTCTTGCCGTACGGAGGGTCCGCATTCCTTTTCATGCGCTGACAGGGGTCCCGGGAGTCAGGAATTCAGTTAACGACTTCAAAGATTGACCGTTGAGGTTTAGATCTGTGATTTTCACGTTCAAAACTCCCGTTTAAGCTTCCGGTTCATTTCGATTTACGCCCCGTTAGACGGAAATTACCCGATCCGGCACGGGTGTGTGTTTAGAATCTCAGGAGCTCCGCCTTCATCGACCCGAGTAGGGTTGAAGTGGGTTTGACTGTTTAAATTAATTTCCTTCAAGGACTAACACTAGCTAGTACGAATCCATCTACAGTGGGGCGGGATTCATAGAACAATGTCAGCGCATAAGTTGAAACCCCCGATAATCCCGGGCCATAACTGTCGATCTATACTTCGTATATTGAATATTGCATGTGCTATTCGATACTCCGTATTCTTTTCGACAAGTTGTCACAATGATTCTCGTTTGAAAAATTATTGACCTAGAGTTTCAAGGGGGCCTTGTGAACCTTGAGTAGAGATCAACGAAAGGATAGTCTCCGTCTGGAGATATAAAGGAGCTCGCAATGCCTTCAATTCCAGTCATATCCAGATCAACAACATTCTCTACAACCTTTTCACTCCTCGTCACTCTTTTGTAACACAGAATGCGTTCCGTGTCTTCCCTTGCTATTCTATCTGCGGTAGGAGCAGCTTCAGCGCTTAGCTCGGCCGCAGGAACAACTTTCTCGACTGCTGTTTCTATAACCGGACAGCCTACACCTACCGTGTCTCCAGCTTCGTCTACAATTTCATCCACCCCTCTAGGCACTCCTCGCGCCACTGGCACCGGCTCTTTTGCCAAGGTGGATGGTAGCAAGTTCAACATTGACGGCGAGACCAAGTACTTCGCTGGAACGAACTCGTACTGGCTGCCATTCCAGACCAACGATGCGGATGTTGACTCCGTCTTCAAAAACCTGAAGGAGTCCGGTCTCAAGATTCTCCGAGTTTGGGGTTTCAACGATGTGAACACCGCCCCGGAGGCTGGGACTGTCTACTTCCAGCTCCACGACAAGGCCAAAGGTACTACTACTATCAACACCGGTGCTGACGGTCTGAAGCGTCTTGATTACGTTGTCTCCGCTGCCGAGAAATACGGCATCAAGCTTATCATTCCTTTTGTGAATTATTGGGATGATTATGGTGGCATGGATGCCTACGTCAATGCCTATGGTGGCAGCAAGACGGAATGGTACACCAATGCGAAGATCCAGAGTGTGTACCAGGCGTACATCAAGGCCGTTGTCTCTCGCTACAAGACTTCCTCTGCTGTCTTTGCATGGGAGTTGGCTAATGAGCCTCGCTGCTCGGGCTGCAAGACCGACATCATCGCCAACTGGGTAGCTAAGACTTCCGCCTACATCAAGTCCCTCGATTCTAACCACATGGTTACTACCGGTGAAGGTTCGTGTCCTCAATATGTACAAAACCGTTAATATGTTCTAACCCAGTGATATAGAGGGCATGGGCCTAACTGTCGGATCGGATGGCTCTTACCCTTACGGTACCTCCGAAGGCAGCGACTTCGCCAAGAACCTTGCCGCCCCGGATATTGACTTTGGAGTGTACCACCTCTACGTGGCCGACTGTAAGAATTGCCTCTGAGAATCCTAAACACACAGCACACTAACCCATCCTAGGGGGTATCAAGGATAACTCCTGGGGCAATGAGTGGATCGAGGCCCATGCCAAGATCTGCGATAAGGCTGGAAAGCCTTGCCTGTTCGAGGAATATGGCATCAAGAACGACCACTGCTCCGCCTCGGTGAAGTGGCAGAAGACTGCCCTGACTACCAACGCTGCTGATCTCTTCTGGCAATATGGCCAGAAGCTGTCTTCCGGTCCCTCTCCCGATGACGAATACACCATCTACTATGGCACTGACGACTGGAAGTGCGCTGTCGCTGACCATGTTAGCCAGATTTAAGAGGTGAGATGTCTGAAATTCTGAATGCTGTGCTGGGGGATGGATCTGCGCGGGTATCAGTTGGACTCTTCAATCTCTGGTTTCGTTCATTGCCAAATAGCTTCATTCAACTCATTTAGGGGATGCATGCCGCTGGCGATGCATTGCTCCCCTTTGTGATATAGCTTACCAGAATGGAATACATAACCGTGCCGAAATGGATGAACAAGTAAATTATGATAGGGTTACAGATAGATATAAAACTGGTGTTACCCTCTATTTGGTTTATAGTAAGCCTTATATAGAAGACCAGAGTTTTCGATTTCTTAATAAAATTTAGAAGTCGTCTAAAAGATATATCTTCCTATAGGGAATCATTTAGGGTGCTTTCTGTTCCCCGGCAAAGTTGCGTTAGAGTATGGTTGTGTTGGAGATAAGGCCAGTAGGACTACTGTAAAGATAGGTGTGCACTGGAAATCTCTGAATTGCGCAAGGAGAGGAAGAGAACTATCTAGTATGCGCTGAGACTTGTCGAATACCAAGTCCAAATACATATAGAAACCAGGGTATTATACAGTTAGTCATCGAGGTCCGCATAGATTGTTGAAATAGCTGGTTTTGTCATTTTAGTTAGAGTTGTCAACATCGGGCATCTATACCATCATCACAAACTAATAAGGACTCCGTTACCCCAAGGTGGAGAAAGGAGTAACTAAAAGCCAATTATTTATATTTATATTCCTATTACAACGTAATCATGTCATTGGCCAGCTGTTACTCGTTTCTCTACCTTGGGGTAACGGACTCTCCAGTCGTCGAAAAAAGAGCGGTGGCTGTAGAAAAGAATTATCCTGCTTAACACTTGATACTTTTTTTTCCTCTTCTCGTATTTGGTTAGGCCATGCCATGCAGATTGATACTCCCGGTCGAAAGGGCCAGCAAGTATAATGCACAAAACCGGACTAGTACATAGGCATAGTACCCACTGGTCCGTTTCAGTCAAGAAGTTTGCGGCATTTGATTAGAGAGTCTAGGCTTCCTCTAAGTCTTCCTAGACTCTCTATCTCTTGTCTTGCTGGTAAGTACGGCTGAGCGGACGGGAAGCCCTGTTTTCAACGGTCGGATGTACTAGAATCGGTATCGAAATGAATTATCAAGAGAAGTCTTCACCCAAGCTTCTTCCTCATGAGCCTCAGTCCGAATACTGTGTGTTTCTCCCTTTTTTGCTTCTTTTTAAGTCTCTGAATTAACAAGTTCGATTGGGCGACTGGTTCTAGACTCGGATCTTTTCTAATTCAAACAAGATCTATGCCACTCCGTTAGTGATAGATGATGTTTTTCCTTCATGATGAACTTACCTTCTCAATATAACGCACCCCAACGAGAATACCATCCTCATCCTCAAATTCACTTTCGTCTTTGAAAAGCGGACTGCTGGGGTCAAGGCATGTTAAACATGCGATAACCGTATCCGTATAAATCCTACCCATTTGCTGGGGTAGATAGGATTTGGCCAAGTTGATCAACACAGATTTGATCTCCACTGCCGCTTTCCGCTTGTTCTTCGCAGCTAACATATCCGCGATTGGAAGTCTTGCGCTGGGAATTTTTTGATCGTCCGAGTAATTTACAAATGAGCTCCCCAGCCCGAGTTCAAGTAAACAAACCCCGGTGCTGTAAATATCATGACGCATGTCGTAGATTTCTTCAGGGTGAAGGCCCTGTCGTGCGGGATGCCGATACAAATTCTTTTCCCAGAGATTATCGCCTGCCATGTTAGTTCGCTGCTCATTGAAACGGAAGCGCTCAAATCCAACTAGTAGCGGTGTTTCCAGAGCACCCGCAGCCGAGGGGAGTATGATGATGTTCTCTGGCGAGATGCTTTTGTGTACGATCCGAGAAGCATGGAGAAAGACAACAGATCGAGCCAGTGATGTGCCTATATGCAATCGTTCATTAAGAGAGTAGGCTTCGGTGGTCACAAGCAAAGACCGAAGGCTACAGGGACGATCGAATGTCAACTCTTCTGGTATGCTGAAGATAATGCGAAAGTAGGCTTGATCTTTCGCAACGATGACACCTTGACAAGGCAGCAATGAAGAAAATGCAGGATCGGCCTTTGACAGGATTGTAGCTAGATCTCGGATGTCCTTTTTGATAGCTTTGAATTCGGCATTTTCACGTATCGTGTGTTTGTCGATTATCACAACCATGCCATTTGGTGCCAATCCGGTTGAGGCGGTAGTTAATGGGATTTCTTCTATATCGGTGATCGTATAATTTTCATCAAGAAAAATTGATGTGGAGGAATCATGAGATGGTATTTTGCTTTTTTCGTGGGCTTCACGGAGCTCTCGAATAGGGGTTATGGACTTGACACCACTCTGTTCTTTCTTCGCCAGCTGTTCTTGAATGACCGGTAGAGAAATACGGGATAGCAAGATCCAGGAGGGGTCAAACTGTCGATTCCAACGTCCAAGTTGCTCGATAACACGCTCTAGAGATCTCTTTCCACGAGCCACATATTTGAGTCGCTTGATTTGCCCCTGCTTTGCAACGAGATTCTCGATTTTCGACGTGCTATCGGGTTCCCAAAAGAGATTGTCCAATGTGTGTACTGCGCTTTCTAGAATTTCCTGCAGCGTTTGCAGGACATAATTTTGATGGACTTGGAGACGTTCGTCTAGCCCATGCCATATCTCGCGTAGGGTGGTGACTTGATCCTCAATCTTCAGCCAATAGCCCTCAATGTAGATAATAGCATTTGCGACTTCGCGTTCGGCTTCTCTATACGCCTGGCAGCGCGAGTAAAGAACCTTCCCACATCTATTTAACAGGTCAGTCGGAACAAACGTTTCAAGTATGGGCCTTTGAGACTTTGCTCGAGGATGGAGACATACTTAATGCAAAGATCCACCATGGAACAAGCAGCAAATGCGAGAGAAACAGGCTCCATTGCTCCTTTATGGGCTTCGAGATGAAGAAAGTTCAACCCAGCAGGCAAACGAATTCAAAGCTAATCGCGGGGTGGGAGGACGGGTGGGAGGACGGGTGGAGGTGGAGCTGACCGAGAGCGACCCAATGGTTCCTTTCCAAGTGCTTGGCGGTTTTTACTCATCTCAGCCGCACAGCACCTGGACATTCTCTCAGGGTAACCCGTCGATTTATATGTTGTATACGTCTGCTGCCCGTCCATATTCCAACATGGAGTCAGCTCTCACAGACTTGGTGACCGATACCAAGTTTCGGGTGGAGTTCAAATCCGATTTGGTCTATCGCTTCACCTTTCAGTCGAGCGATTCCAGACGCCGAATCGTGAGACGAGAGGAGAAAAAGGAGGTTTGGAAAGAAGAGAAGCCAGTGGGCAGTGGATCATATGGAAGTATTTGGGCACACAAGTGCTTGACAAGTGAGGATCAGGGCGAGCTACAGGCTGTGAAAAAGATCAGCAGAAAAAGCTTGTCTTCTGACGGCATCGACTTCTTTAAAGAATTAGAGGCCATCGCGAAATTTTCGCAACGAAAAGTATGTTCCACTAAACTGTCTCTTCAATTTTCGCTAATTCTTTAGTACCATGGGTTGTTTGTTGAATACTTTGGCTGGTATGAAAATGATGATTCTGTTTTCATTGTCATGGAGTATCTCCAGCGTGGTGACCTGGGCTCTTGCTTGAAAATGCCGTTACCTGAAATTGAGGCCCGTGAAATTACATTTCAGATTGCAGAGGGTCTTCAGGAATTACATGAGAATGGATTTGTGCATCGTGATCTTAAGCCACAGGTGAATAAGTTCTATCTCAGGCCGAAAGAGACGTGTTTAGCTAACGAAACTAGAATATATTTATAGTGAAACCAGGGCCTAAGTGGTGGGTCAAAATTGGCGACTTCGGCTTCAGCAAACGTGTCAAAGAAAATAGCAGCCTTCGGTCGATGGTGGGAACACGGTTATTCCTTGCGCCAGAGGTGCAAATGATCTACCCCCCTAGAGTAGATGAGACCAGTGCGGTTTTTCGATACTCGACAAAGGTTGATATTTGGTCTCTCGGCGTGATGGTATTCTACATCCTTTTCCACGAATTCCCATTCACGTTGAAAGATCCACACGGGTTGCCGAAGTATGTCCGCGGAGGAGAACTTCCATTCCCTACCTCACCAATCGCTCAAACGCTCAGTGAGGAGTCTCGAAAATTCATGAGAGCCACGATGGCCCCAGATGCTTCGTCCAGATTATCCGCTCGGGGGGTTCTCGAGAGCGACTGGCTGAAGCAACGACATATAAATCCTGCTCCTAGCGTTGAAGACACTTTTATAAGACTTAGTGAACTAGGCGAAACTTTATGTGAGCAGCACAAATATATCGAAGCCGAAGAAACCCTCCGCCGCGCCTTTGAGGGTCGTACAGAGACTCTTGGCACAGCCCATGAACACACACTCACCACTCTTGAGTGGCTGGGAAAGTCTCTATATTTTCTTGAAGATTACGCCAAAGCAGTAGCAGCCTTCCACGAGGCTGCTGAGAGCCGTAAAATGGTCCTCGGCAAACACAGTGAAAACACGCTCACCTCGCTTAACTGGCTGGGCCGGGCTCACTATTGGCACGAAGACTATCCAAAAGCCGAGGCAGCCCTACGCGAGGCTGTTGAGGGTCGTAAAATGGTTCTCGGCGAACAACATGAAAGCACACTCTACTCTCTTGAGTGGCTAGGCCGAGCTCTTTATTATCACGAAGACTACGCCAAAGCCGAAGAAGCCTTTCGTCAGGCTGCCGAGGGTCGTAAAATGGTCCTTGGTATGGATAATGAGGAAACACTCACCTCCTTTGAATGGCTAGGCCGTGCTCTCTATTACCACAAAGACTACGCGAAAGCCGAAGCAGTCTTCCGCCTGACCTTCAAGGGTCGTAAAGCGGTTCTCGGTATAGAACATGCGCACTCATGGGGGTCCCTTGAGTGGCTAGGCCGGTCTATTCATTAGAGCAGAAGAGTACGCCGCAGTCGAGTATCATACCAATGGCTTTTTCGGGGTTTGCGGGGACACACTGCAAGGACATATCAGTGGCCTGTGATTAAATACATGCCATTTTCCACAATAGATTTATTTATAGAGAGTGTTCAGGGAAGATAAATGTCCACAATCTACGATCGTATGTACTACATGTTTGAATTACTAAAACTATGGAGTTGAAGCTGAAATGGTTTGTAGGTAAAAAGAATAGTGGAATGCGTGTGGTAGTAAATGCGATGTATGCTACACTTACATTTCAACAACCAACGCCTTTCTATTATATGTTTATTTGCCGATAGCTATTGATAAGTCTTTTAAGCAAGAAATACGAGAGCGAGAAATACGAGTTTTAAGGAAATTGAAAAGCGGCATTATTGTTGTATTGAAAATTACGCAGCTCGAACCGGGAAATATATATCGTAATCCTAAAGGCGTGATTATTTTTTTAAACGTCCTAGAGAATCAAGTTATTATATAAAAAGCATAAGGCTATAACAGAAGTTCACATAGGTAAGTACTGTTGAGACATCCGGTTGTAATTTATCGCATTTACTATATGTATCGGGCTGCGCAACTCGCATGTGGAATACGTTCAGGACTCGGCGCTACTAGTAACTAGTAAATGCGATAAATTGCAATATGATATTACAACAACGGTTGACTATATGAGCTTTTTCTTATATTCTAATGCTTTTTATATGATATCTAGCCACTTGTTGGAGTTTAGGGAAATTAAATAAATTAATGACTAAGATATATATACTTTTCGAATTTAGAGATGTAATTTTCGATACCATACTAATCTAGGGTTTTGATTTATTCGAATCTGTGATATACTACTAGAAATGCTTATCAATACCTATCGAATAATAATAGAACTAAAATTATACTTTGGTGGTTGAGATATCAAGTTGTAATTTGTCCCATTTACTATGTGTTTTGAAGCTGGCGGCTTGCTTACAGTGGTTACCGAATATGTTAGTTATATCGTTTTACCTACTTCGGCTAGAGCTAGAAGCTCTACCTCGGTAGTCGATATAGTTACTATCTTCTATTTCGTCGCTTTCTAATTAATTAGGCCGCGATATAACCTCTTTCACCACCGAGTGGCCCACCCCAAAACACCATAGTAAATGCGATAAATTATAACTTGATATCTCAACAACGATAGTCTATATAGAGCTTTCCTTATAGCTAAATACCTTTTTAGGTGATATCTAGCTTCTCTAGGGAGTTTAGAAAATATTTATGACTTTAGGTTTACGCTATATTTGATTCTAGCTTTCAGTAACGTAATTTTTGATACCGTGATAATATAGTTGTTCGATTCTCTTAAAATTGATATATAGTGTTTGAAATCCTTATCAAAAGCTATCGAGTGATAATAGAATCAAATAATAACGTGGTTGTTGCTATATGAGGTTGTAAAATATCGCATTTACTATGGTGTTTTGGGGTGGGCCACTCGGTGGTGAAATACGTTAGCTTATAAATATAACCCTTAAACCTTTTCCTATCCTTACTATCTCTAAATAATATATCGCTTATAAATTTAATTGGTTTTATAGCTAGCTAGAAACCGTGATGCAGGTACAAAGTGGTCTTATTCTCTCTCTAACTCGCTAACATTGTTGCTGTTTACATACAATCTTCAAACAAAGCTATAAATACTCAAACATAAAGACAACATAAGAAGAATCAAATCCAAATCCGCTGAAACGTTCCCAATAAAATCTCACAACAGATGGGCGGTAAAACAAAAGATGAACAGACAAAGGAACAACATAAGAAAAAACAAATGAAAGAATGGCGCAGCCGCTATAGAAACAATACATCGAAGTCACCAAAACCAAAATCACGTCCTCATAAACTGACCCTTCCCACCTGGACTCGTAGGAGCCGACCGAACAGTCATAACCTTCGGAGAGGAAACATCAATCGGCGACAACTTCTCGCTTCCCTTAGCGCCCAAGGGCGTCTTAGGAGGCGAATCAGTGACCAGCGAGTCATTTGACTTCTTGGCAAACTCCTGAAGCCGACCCATAATAACCGGTGAATCGGAGTACAGCACAACACCCTGCGAGTAAACACACGGAGTAGCTTTCTCTTCATCGCTAGCGAAGTCCTCATGAGCAGCCTCGCGCGTAATACGCGGGAAGGTGCGCAGCACGACATGGCGAGTAGGCTCGTTTGACGCGGTGTGTTTCTGATCCTTGTTGGCAGCATACTCCACCCAGCCCTCATTCGAGACGCTCTCTGCGTCTGGGGCGGGGAAACTGGCGAGGACGAGCTCGCGTTCAACGCGTGCGTGTCTCCATGTCTCGGCGGCGAGTTTGACGATCTTTCGGACGCCGATTAGGAGGGAGTCGAGGTGCTTGGGATCGGCGAAGTGCTTGATGTGGTCGATGATTTCGTCGACGATGACTGCTGCGGCTACGTTGATTGACTGTTTGGCATCTGAGGTCGTGTAGGCTGCTTTCAGCGTTTGCTGGCGCCAGAAAGCCTCGCGCCGGACGGACTTGCGTCGGATATCCATGGATAGCATCTGGAAGAAGGTGTCCGCTTTGTCGTATCGTCGGCCCAGGGTGAAGAGGAAGGGTTGGAAGACTCGGAAGGTTAAGGTTTTTGAGATGATGTGCTGGATGTAGGCACAGCGGAGTTCGCGAGAGGCTGGGGTATTGTCAAGGAAAGGTGGAAGTTCGGATGGAATCTTGGAAAGGATGTCTTTTGGGGGATCGATGGGGAGATATCCGAAATGCTCTTTGGATAGATTGTGGATGAGCTGTGAGAGCTCTGTGAAGCAGTCCAAGCTAAAGATGAAAGTGTTTATTAGATCGTGTCCATTTATCGTTATCAACATGAGTCTATAAGAGAATGTATGTCCGCTGTGCACTGATGCAGTTCAAACAAAGGAAATATCGAGAATGAATGACTTGTCTTTCGAAAGACGAAAACCAAAAAAAGAAGAAGAAGAAACAAAAAGAAACAAAATCGTAAATCCATAGGGCATCAAAGGCTCACTTACAAGAATTGATCGCCCTTGGTGTTCCTGAGGTCAGTGGCCTCTCCCAGGCTGGACAGTGTCTTTCTCAGCCTGTCGCAATCCGAGCCCAAGTTATCGATAGTCAGTCGCATGCCCTCCACCGCACGCTGAAGGTGCTGCTCCTTGACAATATTGTCTCCTTCCAACCTCTCCTTCTCTCGCTCAGCACTGGAAAGTTCGCTATTTTTCTCGGAGAGTTGCTGCTCCAAGGCAGCGCGCTCCGAGGTCCAAACCTGCTCTTTCTCATTGAAGTGAGCTTCCAGGGCTGCGATCTTTTCGTCCAATTCTTTGGCAGCAGCAGCGAGTTGTTCGTCGTGGGATTGTCGCAAGGAGTCCAATTCATTAGCATGGCCTTGTCGAAGTTCTTCCGACTCTTGGGCGTTCTTCTGGTGGGTTTCTTCCAGCTCTGCTAGCTTGGCTGCCAGTTCCTCACGTGTCGATGCGAGTTCGGTGAGTCGGGCTTGCAACTCGGTCTCTTTGGATTCCAAAGCAGCGATCTGGGATGTCACTTCGGTTTTGGTGGCCTCCAGCTCGGTGCGTTGGGTTTCAAAGGATTCCTGCAATTGGGCCTTCTCTTTCTCCCATTCGCCTTGGCTGGCTTCGTGTGCACTGCGAAGTTCGCGCTCGCGAGTCTCCAGATTCTCGGCTGCCGATTTCTCATCCTCGGCCTTGATCTCCTCAAACAATTCAGTGAGCTCTTCCTTCTGTGCCACAAGAGCCTTTTCCTGTGCCTCCTTCTGGGCCTGCAACTCTTTCTCGTGGGCTTCCTTTGACTCCTCGATGCTTTCATTGAGTTTATTGATTTGTCCCTCAAGTTCGACCTTAGTTTCAGAAAGCTCCTCGTTGGACTTCTGGTGGACAGCTAGGCCATCTTCAAGGTCCTTCTGCTTCTCTTGCAGATCTCCGAGTTCGAGACGCAGTTCACTGATGGTATGCTTCAACTTAGCGTCTTCTTCAGCGCTTTCATTGGCAGTCTTCTTCATTTGAGCTTGCAGAGCTTCAATGTAGTAGTCCTTGTGCATCAAAGCTTGGTCGTGCTGGCTTCCAATGTGTCTCATCTCAGCCTCCCGGTTCGATAGCTTGCTGTGGGTGTTGCGGAACCCATGAAGAAGACGGTTGATGTCTGGAATGGCTGACTGGATACGTTGAAGAAGCTCAATGTGCTCACTGTCATTTTCTGGGGGAGACCCATTCTCAAGAGAATGGCCATTTGCCATGGACAGGTTTTGAAGGGCCTGGTATGATGCTGAATATGATGGATCTGGGATGCTGTAGCTCCGGTTCATATAATGGGCCTCCGATTGATGATGAGGAGAATAATGCCCATAAGGAGGTACCATTCCAGCAGAGCTCATGACAGGAGATTGGAGAGGATACGGTCCATGTCCATTTTGGGCCATGGGCGATGCTTCTGAAGGAGCCATCGGTGCAGCTGGTGGATTCTGAGGTGGGGGAGTTGCAGTTGGTGATATAGTTGGAGACATTTGAGGGTAATGAGAACGTGCAAGAGGGCTGCTGACTTTGGGCACCGGTGACGCAGTATGAGCTACTGGTGAGGCGTGAGGCACCGGAGAGCCAGCGTAGGGTCCCGGTAAGCTGTAAGGTACTGGAGAACCAGCGTAAGGTGTAGATGAAGTGTAAGGCACCTGGGAACCAGCGTACGGTACCGGGGCGTGGAGCGCAGGTGATGCGTAGGGTACTGGAGAGGAGTAGGCGTTTGGCGAAGCGTACGGCACCGGGGAGGCAGCGTACGGTACTGGCGAAGCGTATGGGTTTGGCGAAGCGTAGGCGCTTGGTGACGCGTAAGGTGCTGGCGCCGAGTAGGGGACGGGTGAAGCGTAAGGGGAATACGCTGATTGTCCAGCGTAATAAAGTTGGTTATCCTGGGAAGGACTTGACATATACCGTGCTTCAGTCAAGGATGGTGAAGGCAAGGGCACACAAGCGGCCACAGGAGAAAATGGATCAGCAGGTGGTGATGAGACTACAGTCTTCTCAGAGTGTTCGACTTGACTGGGTTGATCTTGCTTGGTATGGTCATTCAATAGCTCCTTTGCTTCTGAGTCCTCGGTGGAAGGCTGAACCAAACTTGCTTCTTCCACGGGCGGCTCTTTAATCTCAGTGTCTTCGACGGGAGGCTGAGCCGAGCTTGCTTCTTCCACGGGTGGCTCTTTAATCTCAGTGTCCTCGACAGGAGGCTGAGCCGAGCTTGCTTCTTCCACGGGCGGCTCTTTGTTTCCAGAGTTCTCGGTTGGAGGCTGAGTAGAGCTTGGCTCGTCCAAGAGTGGTGCGTCCAAGGGTGGTGCGTCCAAGGGTAGTGTTTCGTCAACAGGCTTGTCGACTACAGGTGATGATTGATCCACGACGGGGTCGGGGATGTCTTGGGGTGTAGTTTCGTCGTCAAACACCTCGTATGATGATACGGGGGGGTTGAGTACAGGTGATTTTGGATTCGCGACAGGGTCGGGGACGTCTTGTGGTGTAGTGTTGTCGTCAAGTAGTTCGGGTGTTGATACAGGATTGTCGAGTACAGGTACTTCTTGTTCTGTGACAGGGTTGGAACTGTCTTGAGGTGTAACCTCGTCGTCAAATACCTCGTATGTTGATACGGGGTTGTCGAGTACAGGTACTTCTTGTTCTGCGACAGGGTTGGAACTGTCTTGAGGTGTAGCCTCGTCGTCAAATACCTCGTATGTTGATACGGGGTTGTCGAGTACAGGTACTTCTTGTTCTGCGACAGGGTTGGAACTGTCTTGAGGTGTAGCCTCGTCGTCGAATACCTCGTATGCTGATACAGGAAGTGGTGTCTTTACTTCGATATCTGTATTGTCAACAACAGATTGGTCTTTTACTTGCTCTGGTTCCTGCGCCGTGAGTTCAGGGCTGCCAGGAGCAGGAGTTGTCGTAGTTGTCTGAGTCTCTGTGACCTCTGGGCTCTTCCCCTTCTTAACCTTCTTGGTGGATGCCTTGCCATTCTTGTCTTTGGCCTTAGCCTTCTTGCTGCCCGCGGCCATTGCGGTAGAGTGATGCGTGCCCAAGTCTTCTTGCCTCTGAGAGACGTGTTACCAATAGGATCAATGTACTAAATGTAGCATGAGTGATAGTTCCGATCATATGGGGATGACTGCACTGTACATTTGCAACCAGCCCTGTGGCGATGCCTCAAGATATAGCCCAAAAGTCGACTATAGTTGAGAAGTATTAATACTTTAGAATATTTAGAAAGCGTAAGCCAAAGTGACTTTGATCGGGCAGAGACCTGAAGCCTCTCTCTGACTGTGAGAGTGGGCACGAATGAAGATCCGCGAAAACAATGTAGATATTTTTGGGATAAGACCAAATGACCTAGGAAATTAAAAAAGGAAAGAAAAAGTTGAACCCGAAAGAAATTCAAAAAATATCTCTCAAAAATTAGTATCCCAACGTTGTCTGGGCACAATAGCGGACCGACCCTTAGTGTGTTGATACCCATCCACAACCCCCAATGTGCGAGAGGGCCATCAATTAGACGCGAGAACCAGGGATTATCGAATAATTGAGGGCACAGAGAAGATCCGAATCCACCCATATTCCATTCTGAACCGAAGCGAGACCAGTTGGGAGACGCCATGACATTGGGCATCAAACTGTGGGTTCGGGCGATTCAAGGCATTAGTGGGGAAAACTTGACTGACATGTTCAATTGAGAGCCAGGCACTAATATGTCAGAATTAAAATGAGGCGATATGTCGAAAGGATGTATCTCGCTCAATTAGTGTGGTTAGCCTTGACAAATAGTGAGGCTGGTATCGGACAACACATATTACTAGATGAGGTTTTTGACATATCAGTATATTGACATAATATGATTGTCTACTTTGTATGTCAAGTAGATCGGGCTGCACTTTAATTTTGGATTTTTATTTTTATCTGTACATTGTACATTGTACATCGTGCAGAGTAGTACTACAGTCGCTATTAATTATAGTCTTGCAGTGTGATACTAAATTGTATGCATGGGTTGACCTTCTAATCTCCAAAAGATATATGAGAACAAAAATATCGAATCAATTCTAGTTCAAAAACATAATTCTATCCAACTATCATCCCATATAATATATAATAATAGATTACATGTAACAAACTATTAACTAACTTAGTTAATAACTCGAGATGTTGTCCACGAGTTACCAGAATAGAGGATTGCCCTAAACCCAATACGGACATCACGTGTCATCGACTTTCGCTTTCCATCTCGCCCTATCATCGCTCCCCAAAGGGTCATCGATCATCACCAATTGCTTCCCTCTACACAATGTTCGCTGCCAGACGATCTGCTCTTTCGACGCGGCAGTTGCTGCGTACCCAGCGCCGCTGGGGCTCTCACGCTGCCCATGAGCCCGTGAACGAAAGCTTCGGCGTAAGCTCCTCTCCCCGCCGACCGCGACCGGACCCGAGTCTGGTAGCAGGGCAAAGAAATGTCTCAATGGCCCACGACCACCTGGCTAACCCTTTCATGTCCACTTAACAGCGCAGCTTCTACGTCACCTGTGGCTCCATCGCCTCCGCCTTCATCCTCTATAACGTTAGCAAGTCAAACGAGGAATCCGACTCGCCCTCTTGGATCTCCGACCTCATCGAGAAGTGGACTCCTTCTCAGGAGGTCTTCGAGCAACGCAACGCTATCCACACCGCTATCATGGAGAAGGTTGCTGCTGACCGCCACTTGCTCGGCAGTCAGGGTCCAGCCGAGGCTTTTAGCCTCAGACAGCCCGAGTATGTGATCTGGTTGCTCCGGAAATGCTTTTCTTTCTTGTTGTGCTAATTGTACCTTTTTCCCTTTTGTCTAGTATGATGAACTCCGGCTCTCCATACAACGTCTCGCCTGGTTCGCAGGCCGACCTGAGCCATGTCGTGGCTCACTACCAGCGCAAGAACCAGGAGGCTGAGGAGTCCCGGGTTGCGCGGATGAAGGACGGCAAGGTTGTGTCGATCTACGAGTAAATGGGGTTATCTTTTTTCTTTGGTCGACTAGACATGTGTGGAGGAAAAATCATGTACATATACGTTGGGACTTGACGTTCAATCCAGCACCTGATAATTGGATTTTCTTTTGTTTCTTTGAACCTAACTCCTAGATCCTTGCTGAATATTCGTTGAATGGAGAGATTGGATGTTCGTTTTATTATTGAATTCACTCTAGGGCCCACTTGAGGGCACAACCTCCAAAACTACTCGGCCCACACCCTCAGATTGAACGTTCAGTTTCTGCTGCACGTCCAGCTCATTGGCACAGACATTACCCAGCACAGCAAGGAATTCATCAACACCACCACCAACTCCGAAATAAACCTTCTTCGCCGCGACGAGAGCCCGAGTTTTCGCCGATACGGTGTTCGAGCGGCGCAGCAGCGCCAAAAGCGTCTCTGAAAACGCCGCCAGCGATGCGGGAGAGTAAATGGTCTCACTAGCAAGAACTAGAGTCTTGCGAGCACTATCGCCGGACGAGAAGACCAGATCCACAAACTCGGGCGACCAAGCACCTGAAACGAAATCAACCGAAATCCCACGCCGAGCAAGATCATCTTTAAATTCTTGAACCAGCTCAGGCGTGATGTCCAACTCCTCGTCCTGGTCTGGCGCAGTTGAGGCGACTGAGACAGCCGTTTGGGAGCGGCTGTTGTGCCATGTCAAAAGAAGATTCGGGAGCGTGACAAGACGGAGCACGTCCGAGTTGTAGTCTGCGAACGTGAAGAGTGTCTTTCTTTGACTCTGACCGAGCTCGGCTTGGTTGAGAAGACGGGCGAATAGCGTCAACGATGGGACTGCAGTGCCTGCACCAAGCTGTTCGTTCGTATTAGCCCTCGCTCCAGGTAGGTCTTGGGAAAAGCTTCCACAAGACGGGTGATTACGAACCTCAATTATATGAATGTCCGTCGGGCTATCGGAGGATTCATTAAGAATGTCATCGTTGAGGGAGAGCTTGGCTAGATCCAAGGCACATTCCCAGGTTTTGAAGCCGCCTTCATAGAAATTGGGCGTGATGTCGCCCTTTTCAATGCCGGCAATAAGTTCTTCATTATCGTGACCTGCGCTATCTTCAGCCATGAGCTGGGTGCGAATATCAAAGATCTCTCGACGAGCGACGGCCAGAGGCGTATCGCTGATTGCGAGCTTATTGTAGAAGATTTGAGAGGGAAGAATTGAGAGCTGTCATGTTGGTTAGTTTGGAGCTCTCTTGAACAAGTATCATGCATTCCAAAGTAGTGAATTCATGTTTCCGTGCTCTTGTCGATGATAGAGGGCAGTATCTCATATGCCCGAATTGGGGATTTAGAATATACTTGCCAGCTCAAAACATTCATGACAAAAGCATAATACGCATAATTGAAAATAAAATATCTTGCTTGATCACTTACCCATTCATTCATATCATGCTTAACCGCTTTCACAAGCTCAGGAAGAGAATTGCCAACGGCTTGCTGGGAGGGCACATCGGAGAAATCATTATTGATCTCCGAATCATCAATGTCGATATCATCCCCCGAGAATCCGAAGCTGAAGGCCATTTTCACTTTTATAAGAGGCCAACTTTTCTTCCAAGACACTTAGTCCTGTGTAGGTGGGTTGCCTGAAGTGGCCCCGATGTTGCGGATGATGAGAATTTTTCGGAATTGCAGGTTGCCGACAATTTGTACTAGCCTGGACAAAAACAGTATATTTAGATGCGAGGAGCAACTGATTAAACAGTAATTCGGTTCCAGGGCTTTTCTTCAGAGACGCTGTGATCTGATATCCATACAAAAAATTGCAGTGGGTGGAACGATGACTAAGCGGGTATCTGCCTTAGGCAGAATACGAGTATACAACCTCGATGATCAATTCAAACACTATTTTGGAAGTCTTAGGGTCGGGCAGTAGTAATGGTAAATTTATGATTTAGTGATTCTATATTTCGTAATGTCATATCCAAGTGATTAGAAACTGACGCTGTCTATTCTAATATTTTAAATGCAAACAGAAGACATGAGCTGTGTTTAAGCCTTCTGGGTCGCAGCAGCCAGGCTGAGAGCCTGCATCACATCAGCGTGGAGGTCCACGGAGTCTTCAATACCACAGCTCATGCGCACAAGGTCATCGAAGACACCGGCGGCCTCGCGCTGTTCCTTGGGGATGCCAGCGTGGGTCATGCTGGAGGGCACCTCGCACAGACTTTCAACACCTCCGAGACTCTCGGCGAGGGTGAAAACCTTAGTAAACTTGCAGAAATCATGTGCGGCCTGCTGGCCACCCTTGATACGGAAGCTGAGCATACCACCGCCCATACCATCACGGTGCTGCTTGAGGGCAATAGCACGGTGGGGGTGGGAGTCAATGCCGGGGTAGTTCACGGAAATGACGTGAGGAGAGGACTCAAGGGCCTTAGCGATGACAGTGGCGTTCTTGGTGGCCTCGCGCGCGCGCAGGTGCAGGGTCTTAAGACCGCGGTGAGCGAGCCAGCAGTCGAATGCAGATGGGACGGCACCGATGGCGTTCTGGAGGAAGCCAAGGCGCTCCTTGAGGGCCTCAGAGCTGAAAGCAGCCACGCCCATCAGGACATCCTAAATTAGGGTTAGCTAAATGCTGCTAAATCTAGATTGAAAGTAAGAACTTACGGAGTGGCCGTTAATGTACTTGGTCACGGAGTGCACAACAATATCGGCACCGTGGTCCAATGGGTTCTGCACGTAGGGACTCATGAAAGTGTTATCGACAACGACCTGGATACCGTGCTGGTGGGCAACGGTGGCAACAGCCCGGATATCCACCAAACCAAGAGTCGGGTTGGAGGGGGTCTCGATCCAAATGAGCTTAGTCTCGGGGCGGATCAATTGCTCCACATCCACCTCAATAGAGGGGGTGAAGGTGACCTGGACACCGTGCGCCGAAGCAACCTTGGTGAAGTATCGGTGGGTACCACCGTAAACATCGGAGACCGAAACGACGTGGGAGCCAGCAGCAAGGGATTGGAGGATATTGGCAGTAGCGGCGGAGCCGGAAGAGAAGGCAAGAGCGTACTTGGCGTGCTCGAGAGCGGCAACGGCTTGCTCGAAGTTATCACTGCGGGGATCAGTCCACCTGATCAATATGTCCAACTTCTGGACTAATAAACTAACCGGTTGGGGTTGGAGCTCCGTGTGTACTCGTACAGGCCAACGGGGTTTCCCACGCTAGTCTGGGCATATGTGGTCGACAGAGAGATCTAGTCAACGCATTGTTAGTACCGTCTTTGTATTGTCCCTAGATTGATGAGCTTACCGGTGCAATAACAGCGCCAGTCACCGGGTCATGGGGCGAGCCAGCGTGGACAGCCAGTGTCCCAAAACCGCGGTCAGTGTGTCCGTTTTCCGTGGAGCCCATTGTGTATAGAAAGAAGATGATTTTTAGGGCAATTGAGAGAGGCGAGGGGTAGGTTATATGTTTATCGATAAGATGAGATCACCGCTTCTTTGTACAACATATGACTGGATTGTCTGAAACCGGAAAGAGACTCGGATTGCGAATCTGATTGATAATCAAGGGAGATGGCGAAATCCAGTTTTAATGTCTGCTTTTGGATGTTTTCGTGCTGAAAAATTCAACCGAAAAAAAAAAATTCTTCCAGAGAATCTTTTACATACTACCAACCCCTGGGGCGCAGATGACGATGGATCGCGCGATTGCGACTGGACGAGAGACCAGCGGAACTCCACCGCCAGCCGGCAATTCTGCTCGGAGAACCATTGGGATACCCCGATGACTCGGAGTATCGGAGTGTTCGGAACTTGCCGCATTGCAGATCTCCTAATTGGTGATCCATACTATATATGTTATACCTTTGCTCTGTACATCGTATCTTCTGTACGTTATCTTTCAGGAAAAGTGTAGATGCGGGGATTTATTTACGTTGAATTTAGATTACTTTGTTGCTTAGCTGTGTCTCCTATTGGGCGATTTTACACTGTCAGTTGGCGCTCATTACAATATGTCACTCAGTTATCTCTATATTCATTGGCATTGATTCGTATGGGTATCTGGTCTGACTCTAAAAGAAATTTTATCGGCGCTGAGAACGGGCCACGATAGGCCAACAAGAAGACAGTCTAATGTGACATCAAATGGCAGTATGTCGGCAGCGGCCTACCACCAAGTGATGGGCCCAGTTCCACCCATTTGCATCGAGCCCTAGAAGATGGTCAGTGAGAGCTAACAAGACCGATATAGAGAGACCAACAAGAATAGAATACGGAGGGCGCCTGTCCTGTGGAGTTTCATCCGCAACATCTGGTGCACTGGGGATTTGATCATGCCACTCTTCTGATTCGACTCGGAATCGTACAACTTCTCCTACATCGAAGAAGAATTCTGTCCCCCCTTCACTCTCCCAGATCCACACCTGCTCAGCATAGTCACTGCAAGACACATTAGCATTTCAGATTTGACATGAGGCTAGGACCAGCTCACAATCGGGACTTTTCCATCAGCATTTGGGGAGGGATCAGAATGTCATTGAAAAATTCAAGGCCAACTGGAATGTGTTAGCCTTTGACACGCACTGAGTCTTCGTATTGGGAACGCACTCTTGATTCCGTGTTCTGTGCCACTAGCAATTTTCCCCAGCATGATCTCCCCTTTGAAGGGTCGGAAAACAATCATGCGAAATTTTACTGTGTAATGGTCAGTAAAGATCTCAGACTCAAGAAAGGGCTCGGATCATCTACCATTGACATTAACCAAGCCGGTTCCATGACCAATCAGGCCATCAGAAGATTCAAGTAGGTCATAGAAGCTGATGCAAAGGCCGATTTTTTGAATGACCTGAAGGGCAGAATAAGCATTAAGGACGTGGAAGGAAGAAGTTTGAATAGCGCACTTTATTGGCGTATTTTGCATTGATGTTGTCTTCAAGCGCAACTGCACTGAACTTGGAGAAATCCTCGGGCGAGATCTGAATCAAGTCCGATATGGTGGTCTGGTAACGTTAGAAAAAGTTTTTTATATATGACTGTTTTAAACTTACTAGGATAAACATGGCGACGGTAGGGAAGGTGCAACTAGGAGAGTGATCTGACTAGGCAGAGACGAAGTGAATAGGTGCAAATATCTTTTCCTGTTTTACCATTGTCAATTGAAGCAATCAAAAACCCTTCTGAGATTCTTCGTGCTCCGCCTAGAATCCCGCTCGCACGTGACCACGGAACGGAAGCTTTCAATCTCAACCTTGACTCCGCAAATACGCTAAGTTTACGAGATTATTCTTGTGTTTGTGCTGGAGTCTCCAGCAAACCCAAAGGCTCTAGTCATGAGCTCGCAGGGATTTTCTTTCCCGCCTCCCCCGCCTCCCCCGCCGGCAACTAACCAGGCGCCGGCTCACCCGACTCACCATGGACAGAATTGGGGTGGACGCGGTGGGCATGGCGGAGGTCAGAGGGGACGTGGAAGAGGACATGGCAACCGAGGCCGGGGAGGAAATCATGCAGAAAGTGGACGAACGCCATCATATCTTCCCCCTACAGGGTTCAACTACGCGCAACCAATGTATGGCGGATATCCTCAACCACTTCCCACAGCACCTTATATGCCTCCCCAGGCCTATCATCATGGACAAACGCCGGCCTTTCAGAATTCTCAAAATCTACCCCCATTCCCCTCTCAACAATATCCCCAGTCGGTAGCTCCGGGTAACTATCAGCACTACAATACGCCCAACCTTTCCACACCTTACCCACCCGCAACTCCGACGTACATGCAAGGTTTACCAGCACCTCCCCATGGCCAGCAACCAAACAATCAGGCAATGCTGCCCCCCATGCCATGGCACAATGAGATGCAAGGCGCAGCGCCATACATGGGGGCTCAACCGGGGCACGCACGAGGGCCACGACCTACTCATGCGCATGGCAACCAGGGTCCGAAACCCAAGCATAATCAGAAGCGGGATCACTCATCCGCATTCAACAAACCTCAATCAACTGCACCTCGAACTCCCGCGGCGCCTGCCGTCCCAAGCTTCGGCAACCCTCTGCCCTCGAAACCACCACCCGCCGTAGACTCCACATCCAACAGAAAGGCAAAGAAGAGAAAAAGGAAGCACAACCAACTTGGACTGACCCCTAATACCGAGGATCATGAGTCAAGCGAAGAAGAGGCTGATGAAGACGAAGAATCGAAGCTGGCGCAAGGTGGATCTGACGCAACACCACTTCAGGTCTCATACAAAGGAAAAACGTCTACGTTGCAAACACCGTCCGATATCGCCGCTTGGATTGCAGAGCGGAGGAAGAAGTTCCCCACTCAAGCTCGGGTTGAAGAAAAGAAGAAGTCGATGGAGGAGGCAAAGGCCGCTCGCGAGGCAATCCGTCAACAAAAGCAAAAAGAGCAGCAAGAAAAGCGCAAGGAACATATACAAAAGCAAAACGAACACAAGATAGATCCTACTGCAGATGCAACGACAAATGCGCAGCGCAGGGAGAAGATTCGGCGCAACCTTGAACGAGAGGAGAAACGAATCCAAAAAGCTATGGCCGAGACCGAAGCTGCTCGTCTCCGA